AATTTAAAATTTTATAAATATTATTAAATGCTCAAATACTTATATTCTATTATATTAATTTTATTATTTTTTAATAATATTATTATTTATTACATCATCTGGTTCGACCTGTCGAACCGATCGAACCATGAACCTCTCCTTCTTCCGGTTCGTTGTCCAGTCTGATTTTTACAACCATTATAATTCAACAGATTTGATCATTTGTTACATTCTCTAGATATTTTCTTTTTCTTATTCGGAGATATTCTCTTTTTCAAAATTTAAAAATTTGAACTTGTTAGGAAATTAATCAAGAGAAGAGTTGGATCTCAAGCATCTATTTTAGTTCAAAATTATTCGCAGATGACTTCCAACATTATTAGTGAGTGACCTATGAGTAAGAACTGAAAATTTATGTGAGGCTTGAGTCAGTATGAGGAATGTAGAAAACAGCTCTAAAGTCGATATTAATCTCATAGCAAATAGTGCAAGCTCTTAAAGATTCAAAATATACATGTTCACTTATTACTTGTAGAAGTTAAAGATTTATATAGAAGGTTACACGTAGTAAAAATAGAAGATCATATATGATATAATTGTTGCAAATTATTATAAACAAGTGTCTTAAACAGGAACTTTTATTTGGTCCGGTGAACGTACGCAACTCTACGTTCGGCCGCCAGTAGAATCGCGCCACACGTTTTCATTATTTACCGCGCGCCCCGACAAACCGACCCGGAACGGACCCAAGATTGCTCGGTATTGCTAGGTATTGGTCGATTTTGCTCGGCAATAACCAATACCGAGCAAATACCTAGCAATACCGAGTTGTACCGAGTTTTTTCTAGCAATACCGAGCAAAAACCTAGCAATACCGAGCAAATCCCTAGCAATACCGAGCAAATCCTGAGCAAATACTGAGTTGTACTGAGTTTTACCGAGTTGTAAAAAAACTCAGTACAATTCGGTATTTGCATGGTATTGGTCTTCACAGAGCAGTATTTCTCATTTTTGCAAAGCAATGCCTAGCAAATACGGAGCAAATACCGAGCACTACTGAGAAAATCGCGAACATAGCATTCCCGGGTTCCTCTCCGGATCAAGTCGTCGGGCCGCGCGGTAAAGAGTAAGAGCACGTGGCGACATGTTATTAGCGGCCGAACGTAGCTCTACGTCCGGTCAGAGGACGTAATAATTGTTCCTTAAACAGTTAGTCATCATGTGAGTTCCTGCATCTTGCATAGCTCTTCTCTACCCTGAGGCATGTCCCTTTGAGTGCCTAGGGCTAATCTTCAGGATATGATATGTAGGGCGAGTCTATGAAAGCGAGTCATCTCAATATGCAAGCAAGTCCATAAAAGCGTTGCTCGGACCACTAGATGTGAAGGGCGAGCTTCCTTAAGTGAAAATGGTCCTACAACAAGGATGAACTCAACCTGGGAAGCCACAAGGTCTTCATGGTTTGTGCTTCTTGCAACTGGAATGAGGATATTAGCGACAAGCGATTGGCCTTAATTGTAGATAGTTACTGTGTACAAGTGATCATTATCGAGGTGAACGACTTAGGGCTTAGAGTCAGTTGGACAGATCATGCCTTGGTCTAAACTTCCAAGACAAGTCTCCATGTGCTAATCTTTCAAGTAGAGTGGTCATGAATCGACAAGTTATATATATAAACAAAGCAATAATTCCTCTCCCAAAAGCATGATTTTTACTAAAACACCAATAAATAAATTTAAACAATATTTTAAATCAGAGTTATATTCAGATTCACTAAAAAAAATTTATAAATTATTTTTATATAAATGAAAGAATTTATAAATTTAAAAATGCAACGGCTCTGCGTTTACAAATGAATTATTTCAATGAATTCCTTATACAGACTTATACATCAACAAATTATTAAGTCGTGAGAATTGCAGCAGCTAAGTAATAATTGCTTAAACTGGAGCTTTTAAACATGAGATGCTATGGAACAGTAGCTGCACCTGCAAGTGGTTCAATGAGCTCAAGAAATTCATTGGCTAGGCCTGTGAAAACAATTGAATCTGTCTCAATGGGTTTGAATTTGATTAGGGCTGAAGGAACCAAGCTTTCTTCTTCTAGGGTTGGTGTACTTCCATCAGCTCCTCGAAACCGAGGGATCGCATGAACCCTCGACATTGCTGGACTCAGAAGCTCAAATTCCAAGGTGGGATCTTTCAGAGCAGAGCTCACAAACTGAAAGAGAAAGAAAAAGAAAAGAAAAATTAAAATGAAGGTTAATAAGAAAATCTTGAGTTTCTCCTAAAAAAAATCTCATATTCCTTGTTATGAGCTACTCTTCATCTTATATTTGTGAGCGTATAATGCTCTTTCAATGCTAAGATGATAAACTCTCCGTTTATTGTTATGAATAACATGCAACAATCTTGCCTATCATTCTCAAGTTAATTTTAATGACAATGGTAGCTCTAATATGATTGACAAAGGATGTTGGTACACTTTTCTTCAGCTTACAAAAATGAAACAAGACATTCAATTCAATTGAACTTCTTAGAATTCCCAATTTTGGGGGAAATTATTGGGTTCAGACACCGGACGTCGTCCAAAGCCCAATGAAAATGCGTCACATCACCCCCTACTAGGTACTGAGCTCGGTACTGAGCAGTACCAAGCAGTACCGCACAATAGCGAACTCGGTACTCCACCATAGCGAGCTCAGTATTGCTCGGTAATGAATAACCTGCACCTGATTGGTCTCCAAACGGTAAGCTGTGTCCGGTGTTCGAACCCAATAATTTCCCCAATTTTGGACTGGTGTTGAAGATCAGCCAGTTTTACAGTCAATGTTACCGTTGAATTTCAAGAACTATCTTCAATAAAAAGGGACAGTAAGTCTTTTTCTAAATGAATTAATATTTTCTTTTTTTAACTGTGAAGGGTAAATCTTACCCAGCTTTTTATAAAAAGAAATGAAGCCTTCTTACCCATATTTTTTAAAATCTATTGAAAAATTTGTTATGGTCAATGGATGCAAGAAAGGAATAACACAAAATAAATGAAAGGGCAGATAATTAACTGACCTCATATAACGCGGTAGTTCGTTCCCAGGGCAAAAATATGCCTTGAAGCACCACTCCATCAGGGAATTGGAACCGAATGACAGTTAACTTATACTTCTTCCTAGCAGCCATAGCTTGTTTCTCCTTATAAGACCTGGGAATTAATAACTGAGAGTCTGCAATCTTTTTTTTCCTTGCATCAGCTTCTCTTCTTAACTCTTCAATAGATAAATTATAGAAAGAATCAGGCAAATCAATTTTAGCTGCCACACTTTCTGGAACAGAAAAGAAGACCCGAACCTAAAAAATAGCCGAAGTGCACAATTATTAGGACAATCATCTTCATCATCTATTACAATAGCTTAAGGCCCTATATATAGGCCACAACATAAAAAAACTCAAAAGACAAAGTTGCCCCTTGGGCAACAACACTCACATAAACAAATCTAGGGGGTAAAACAAGAAATAACATAAAATAAGAGCTAAAATTCAAAAAATAACTCATAATTTAAGATTTAAATTATAGCCGTCAATTTACGACGCCTCCTGTGATAGATGCATCAAATCTTCGTATTGATGTCCGCATCACAAACACCAAACTAGGATCTAACCAAAATTTCAACATCTAGTACGAAATCAAGTAGGATCATTGTCTTCCCAACAATATCATTCCCCAAGTCCCCCCAAGCCAACCCAACCAAGTCCTAAACTGTGTAGTGCTCAAAGTGGGTACGTGGATTTGGTGGGCACAATGAGTCTAATCACAAATATACGATAGGAGAGGCCTGCAAGTATTGCTAGATATCAGCAAATGCATGTGATATCTAGGAGTGTTAATCCCTAACTTCTGTGTCGTCAATGTAATGTCCTGCTAGATTTGACCGAATAGTGAGTCAGCTATTAAACACGAAAGAGAATATTAGTGAAAATTACATATCATACATGATCTCTTCTTTTTTATCTTTGCCATGACTACCTTTGATAAAGCCAATCATGTACCAAAAGCTTAGCAATGGAATGACTTATGTTGATGATGGACAAAGGAGACCAATTGCGCTTAAACCATCTAATTCCTTCGAAATGATTTGTTTTTAAAATCCTCGTAAAAGACATGCACATTAAACGACTATAATACAGACGGACATGAAGAGCATAAAGGCTTCGTTTGGCTTAAACAAATTAAAGGAGAGAAAATGATAAAGGAATTAAATTAAAATTAGCTTTCGCGCACTTATTTAGGTGAGAAATGCAGTAATTTTTTTTTCTTAATTGATTGATGAGAATAATAGAATTTTTGTTTCAGAAGACACTGAGTAAAGAGATGGTATGAAAAATTTTTCTTCTTGTTTTCAACTTTAGTTGGGTTTGGAACTGTAAATGAAAAAAAAAATAGAATTGTTTATATTTCCTAGGTAAATCCATTTACCAATTAATTGCATTAAAATCAAACAAAGGTTTGAAAGCGTGAAGAAAAATACATTACATTACCTCCAATTCCTTCAAACCAAAAATACCCAAAGTTTATTTGCAATAAGGTAATAAAAAAGATAGACACAGAATCCATAGTGCCATACTAGGCTATTCTACACTAAAAGTTCAAATAGGCAAAAAATGCAAACGGGCTTCATTTAAGGTGTAAATGGGCATTACTAGTTCCAAAAGCACCAAACATAGGGAATTTCAAAAGGATAACAGGCAAGTGTCTTCATGTCTTTTTTTTATTTTTCATTTAAATTTTCTTTTCAAGACACAATCGTCCTCCAATCAACCAATATGTTGCTAAAAGATGAGCAATAAATGAAAGCCATTCAGTGAAAGCATTCAACAGGGTCAGCAACTTTGAAAGAAATGACAGTATGGAAAATGGTGAATTTATTAGGCAGCTGATGTGGTATGCAATGGAAGAGGCAGGCTAACAAGAACAATCAACAGAAGGCAGAAAATGTAGAAGGCTTGAGCCTGTAATTCTATTTCATCAACTGTTGAGTTCATCTTCTCCAAGAGGAGAAACACAAAACTAGAGAGCTAAAAATGGCTATGCAGCCCAAAGAAAGTGGCTGTACTAACTACCAAAACGGGAAATGCAAAAGAGTAGTGGCTGCTCCCTAACGGCATGCTGCCCCACTAACAGTGCTAATAAGAAAATTAAAATTAAACAAAACATTTAAAAGATAGCAGTGCTAATAAAGTAACGGAAACTAGCTGAACGGTGATCTGGCCGGGAGAGTAAACAGATCGGACGGTCAGGCTTGGATGCGCTGCATCATTCTCCCCCTCCATCAGTAGAATCCGAATCTGTAGATGAGAGATTCGTAGGAGCTTCGTCAGGTGGATGGTACTTGACCAAGTCACCAATGTTGAAAGTTGCAGAAGTATTATAGTGAGCGGGCAAGTCGATCACATAAGCATTTGGATTAATCTGTTTGAGCACTGCAAACGGACCGATCCTCCTGGGGCTTAATTTGGATTGATATTCCTGAGGAAATCTCTCCCTTCTCATTCTGATCATGACTAGGTCCCCAGGGGCGAAGCTTCGTTCTCGTCGTCTTCTATTTGCATCCTCTTTATACTTCCGATTAGAGGCATCCAGTTTTTCTCTAACCTCTTGGAGCATTTGGGAGAACTGGGCGGCGAAGTCAGCGGCGGGCTTACTCGAGCACTTGGGCAAAACGGCTAAATCCACCGTATGATTCGGGAGTTTAGTATACACAATGCTGAAGGGAGTTTTTCCAGTTGATCGGTTGGTCATGCTGTTGTAGGCGAATTCAGCTTGGCCTAATATTTCGTCCCACCCGCGCGGATGCTCCTGCACTAAACATCTAAGCATATTGCCCAATGTGCGATTGATGACTTCTGTTTGCCCGTCCGTTTGAGGATGGTATGCCGAACTGAGCTTGATATCGGTCTGCAATCGTTTCCACAGCTCCTTCCAGAAATGACTTACAAATTTAACATCCCGATCGGATGTGAGACTCCGGGGAAGTCCGTGTAGCCGGACTACTTCAGCAAAAAAAATGCGAGCAACATTTAAGGCGTCGAAGGTCTTCTTGCACGGCACGAAGTGAGCCATCTTTGAGAAGCGATCAACCACCACCATAATGGAGTCGTGACCTCGTTTAGTACGTGGTAAACCCAGAACAAAATCGAGGCTGAGGTCTTCCCAAATGGATTCCGGTGTCGGTAACGGCATATATAGTCCCGTAAGCTGTCTGCCTGTTTTGTAGCTTTGGCAGACTGGGCATCTTTCTACAAATCGCATAACGTCGCGATGCAGATGTGGCCAGAAAAATCGTGCTTGTAGCTGCAAATAGGTGTTTCTTCTTCCCACATGAGCTGCTAATCCACCGGAGTGAATCTCTTTGATCAGTTGAGGACGCCAAGAGGAATCAGGAATGCATAACTGATTCAATTTGAACAAGAAGCCGTGCCTTATAGAGAATTCTTTGTCAGTTTCATCTTGCAGACAATCTGCCCAGATTTTCGCAAAGTCAGAATCCGAGGCATATAAATCCTTCAGACATTCTAACCCAGTGATCTCGGTCTTCAATTGGACCAGCAGTGCATGGCGCCGGCTTAGTGCATCGGCTACGACGTTCTGGGCGCCTGACTTGTGCTTTAATACGAAAGAAAATCGTTGCAGGAACATAACCCACCTTGCGTGCATGCGGTTGATGTGCTTTTGATTGTTAAGGAACTGTAAGGCTCGGTGATCACTGCACAACACAAATTCCCGGTGAAGCAAATATGGCTCCCATTGCTTCAGGGCTCGAACAACCGCGTAGAGCTCCTGCTCATACACGCTCCATTTCTGTCGCGACGGGCAAAGCTTCTCACTGAAGAACTCCACGGGGCGAGTGTCCTGGCTAAGCACTGCCCCAATTCCGATGCCTGAAGCGTCCGAGTCGACATGAAATGTTTTGTCGAAGTCGGGTAGCGCCAAAACAGGGGCGAACGAGAGTGCCAACTTGATTTCTTCAAAGCTACGGGATTGCTCTGTATCCCAGCTGAAATTTTTAAATTTTAAGCAGTTGGTAATTGGCGCCATCAACGAACTGAAATTTTTGATGAATCGTCAGTAGAAATTGGCCAGGCCGTGGAAGCTGCGCACCTCTGTGAACGACCGGGGCACTGGCCAGTTGACGATAGCCTCCACCTTGCGCTTATCTACTTCAACACATGCGCCCGAAACAACAAATCCAAGAAAATAGACTGCTGAAGCAGCGATTTCGCACTTACTTGGATTTAGGTAGAGCTGATTTTGCCGTAACACCATAAAAATATTCTTCAGATCGACCATGTGGTCTTCCATAGTTGCGCTATACACCAGGATGTCGTCAAAGTAAGCCACGCAACAGATGTTTAGAAAAGGCTGAAGAATATCGGTCATCAAACGCATAAAGGTCGAGGGCGCGTTGCACAGTCCAAACGGCATAACTTTCCACTCGTACAGGCCTTGGCGAGTCTTGAATGCCGTCTTCCACTCGTCGCCGGGTCTGATGCGGATTTGATGATATCCGCTGCGTAGGTCCAACTTCGAAAACACCGTGGCGCCGGACAACCGCTCCAACAGCTCCTCAATCCTCGGAACAGGGAAACGAAACTTCACTGTGATTTTATTGATCGCCCGGCTATCCATACACATACGCCACGAACCATCCTTTTTAGGGACAAGGAGGGCTGGAACCGCACATGGGCTCAAGCTTGGTTGAATCAAGTTATTCTTCAGCAGATCATCCACTAATTGTTGCAGGATTTGATGCTCTTTAGGACTTAGTCGATGATGTGGTAGATTCGGGAGAGTAGAGCCAGGTACCAAATCAATTTGATGCTGAAGGTTGCGCAGTGGAGGTAATGAAGTTGGCTCCTCTGATAATAAGTCTTTAAATTGTTCCAACAGGTGCTCCACGCTGGGTTGGACAAGTAAGCTGCAGCTTGGTGCAATCTCCCGAAAAATTAAGGCAAACATGGGGCTGTCGTCGGAACAAGAGGTCAAAAACCCATTGCCAGTGACTAAATGCAAAGCAGGCGTAGTCATTTCAGCCTTATTTTCAACTCCCTGCGATTGCGGTAACAGCCTGAGGCGTTTGCCTTTACATTCCAGCGCATAAGTATTGGCTCGCCCGTCGTAGATAGCACCCGCATCAAATTGCCAAGGCCGACATAGGATAAGGTGACAAACATCCATTTCTACGACATCGCACAACACTTCGCAAGAGTAATGTTTCCCAATGGAGAACGAAACCCGGCAAGTCTCGGTCACCATGATTTCCATCCCTTTTTTGACCCAGCTGATTTTGTAA